CCGGCCTGCACGGCTTCATCTTCTACTTCCTGGCTTCCGTCCTCCTCTCCGTGCTCTTGGTGTTGAAAGCCGGACGGCGGTGGAACAAGTACTTTAAATCCCGAAGGCCGCTTTTCACGGGGGGGCTGGTAGGAGGGCTCTTCACGTACGTCCTGTTCTGGACTTTCCTCTACGGGATGGTTCACGTCTATTGAACCAGCCGGGAGCTGCAGAGGTTTGTCATGAAGCGAGAGAACTGTTGCCAAAAGCCACCTCCCCCCCTAGGCCAGCTTCCCTTTTAAACTCCTGTTCGTCGCTTGTGTCATTAATGCCGTCAGTAAATTATGTCCGAGTACGAATGAATCGGTAGCGCTGAGCTAATTAAACTGAATGTGAAGCACCACTCGGATGCCTCCCCTGGATCTTTGTTTGGTGGGTTATTCCTGAATAACTTCTGTCTCTAATTGTGGGCACAGCTGTGGGGTTTGGTTAATGTAGTTCCTTGTATCCTTTGTGTTTTGGATAAAACACCCCAGTTACAATCCCTCCCTCCTACATTTGCTGCTGTCCCTACACACAGACACTGATGAAAGCAGCGTGTAACACGCCACTCTTAACAAATAATCTGCTGCCTGAAGGAAACACTGCACAGTAGCACGTAATAAAGTGTATGTGAAGGTTTGGTACAGAAATTTAATTGAGTTGCTCGTGGAAACGTTATTTCCACAACCGCTGTACGTACACGCTGTCAGGAAGTGACGTTGTCACGGGTGCTCTTCACTGGCAGACACAAAAGTCACCAGGTAAGTATCACTCGCTCTCACACGTCAGACCCTTTGCTCCTTTTCAGTACCCTTGTGTCTGATGAAACACAGACAACCAGGTCGGTGCAGCGTTTATTACCTGCCAGCTCAGTCTGCGCCGAGCACGCTCGTGAGCCTGCCGGCGTTTTCCACAACTGCCCCGTGTGCTGTTGTGGTTCCAGTGTCTCTGGCAGGAATGGAAAGGAAAATTCAACCCCCACTGTGCGGGGAGTCTCTCTGCTACAGACCTGCTCGTGCACACGTTCCTTTGAACACAGTGATCAAACCACAGAGTGTACAACTGGGATGGGTCGTGTGTCTTCTTCTAGAGCACACGCAGCTCCAGCTGGTTACCGCTGCTCTCTGAGTCAGACATTGCTTCACCAGAACGCTGTCAGATGGTTCCTTTTTCTGTTGTACAAAGATTTGATAACACAATGTTCTGTATTTAAAAATATTTTACAGAAAAATAAACTGCAGGGTTACACAAAAGGTGGATTTGATACGATAAACGTTACCTCTGTGGTGTTTCCTTTTGGGGGGGGAAAAAGATGATCAAGGTTTGAATTCCCTCTGACAGATTCAGCCATCAGAAAACCTCTGGCACTTGCTACTTGTTAGTGGGTGTTTCATTTGAATATGTGCTATTCAAATACTTTCTAAACTCTTAATCAGATTGCTGAGCATAAGGACATACCACAAAGAGAAGGTGGCGTGTGCAACCTCAGGAACACAGTGTACAGAGAGTCTCAGAGAACATTCCCCTAAAGTGACAAATTTTATTGCTGTATGTTAAATACAAGGAGAGAAAAAAAAAAAAATCAAAGAAACAAGCTCCTGAGAAGGAGGCTGGTTATGTTTTATCAACAGCAATGGTTGGGGGAATTGTGTTAAAGAGATGGTGTAAAGGAGGGATATAGTCTAGGGAATTTGGGGCCCTGAAGCCCCTGAAGACTTACATTGAGGAAATCGCTTTGGTCAGCTAACAAGAGGATGGTGTTTTGTCAAGTTGAAACACTGGTTTCAGCTGAGCACAGTCAGCTTTGCGTGTCAGGATGAGCTAGTGGTGTCCATGAGTTGTGCCTTGGTCTGATGTCACACGAGGGGTTCACCACCTAGAAATTATTCAAATAGACTGAAGCTCTGACAGTCTAAAGCCCGTGCTGTTTTAGAGGCATGTCAGTTGCACATACGTTGACTCGTGTTTGCCTGGAGAGACTTCTGGCATGAAGAGAGGAGGCTTTGGCTGTGATTATAGCATCAGAGGTGCACAGCTTATCCTAAATTCTTTTAGAAGTCGACTGTGTAATTCTATTTTCTAGCCACGTGTTTGACTCAGTTACTTGCATCTGAACAGAAGCAGAAGGAGTGGAGTAGACCAGGTGGGTTTTGCTATCGGTGAGTGGATTTGGGGTTAGTTGTGACTAGCAGAGTCTTGATTTAGAACCAGCCTGTGCCTCGGAGTAACCACCTCAGAGAAGTTAAAGGCAAGGTGAGTGCTGTCTGCGTTGGTGCAGAACACTCCATCACAGCTCTGCAGGTCTCCTGGCAGTAGGTTAGGACACTGTGGCAGGAGTCCTTTAAATCTTGATCTTCAAAGAGTGCACAGAAACTCTTCATCTTTGTCCTGATGACTCCTCCTGAGTGATGGCACCATGGCAGCATTCACAGAACACTCATCAGTTTGCACCGAGCCACAGTGTGGAGGCTTTAAATGAACGGAAGCTCTTCAGGGGCTGGCGAGTCGGCTCCTGTCAGCTCAGGCAAATTCGAACTTCAATCAATCATATTCTAGAAGCACTTTCCTCTTCTGAGATTAGTTTCATCCCCACATGAGCACACAGTCACAAAGTGTGAAAATTCTCTCTATTGAGACAGAAGCAGTGGTAGTTCCTGGAAGTTATCAGAGTGTTGAAATAGCAGACATCTGTCTTCTCAATTTCCCTCCTCTTGGTGTATTTGGAAGAACCTGGCAAAGTCTGTTTCAGCTGACAGAGCTCCCTCCTTCAGTCTCTGTGGTACAGTTCAGGGTACTATGAAACACAGCAGAAGCAGAAAGTCCCCCATCCAGATCTCTGCCCAGCTTGAGCAATTGGGAAGTGATGCAGAAAGGACAATCCTGAGCGAATTAAACTGGCCACTGAACAAAGGAGGGAGAAGCCAAGACCATCTCCATGCAGACATTCCAGTGCCACGTTGCTTTCCAGTGTGCCAACCCCCTTCCCCCCCGCACTGTCAGCCACAAAAGATCCCTGTCCCTGCCCTGCTTCAAAATACTCCTCCTAATACTCCTGCTGGTCTGTGCTCTGAAACCTCGGTCCTTTGGGCCAATACAAATGGAGACAGTGGGCAGCGGGTGAGGTAGCTGGGACCCAGCCACGGCTGAACCGATTCTCCTGTGGCAGGACCTTCTCCTGCTGTTCCTGAGATGAGCAGAGCACCTCGCTGCAGCTGTTGCAAAGGCTTTTCCTGGAGGAGCACGGTTTCTAGCCCTCATGGTTCCACACACACCCCACAGTATGAGTCATTGCCCCCACTCTGACAAGCCCACTCAGCACGGGTGTTGTAGGAGAACAATCCCCTTTCCCCCGGGCTCTGAGAGCTGCTGAGAAGCTGCATTTCCCACCAAGAGCAGTCCCGCTGCTTTACATCTAAGTCTTGCAGGTAACACAAGCGAGAGCTGGAAGCGGTGGCCACAAGCCAGTGGAGCAGGAGACAGGTTGAACCTCAGCCTCAGCCCTCCTCAACGCACCGGTGGCGTTTCACATCGCGGCTCTGTCGCACACGGAAGCAAAGCACAGCCACAGGGTAACGCTGGCTACTGACACAGGTACAGACAGATCTGTCAGCAGGTAGAAAAACATTCATTTCGTGCCTTCTTTTTCCTTCTATAAAATCCTTTTATAAATCCATAGCGATGACGCGCTGTTGCAAGCTCAAGAAACCAGAGGACATCTCGGGGAAAGAAGGACGTTTGTTAAAGGACTTTTTTTTTTTCCTCTGGGAATCCTGGTAACAGACAGTGGATCTGATCTGGGGTATCTCCACCTCCCAGTCCGGGTGTGATTTCACACCTGTGTGGTTTTCCTGGAACACGAGTCCAGCTGACAGACCCACCGCTGTGCCTAGAGCCCACCGAGCTGCTCAGGGCTCTGGTTCCCATTCAGCGCAGGGCTGGATAACGATTTCCTGGAACTGGACCTGAGGGAACAAGCAAAGGTGACGCATGAGGCAAGCAGGCTATTTCAGGTGGGCAAGAGGTTCCCAGCCCTTACCACAAAGGCCATCACCCCCCATACAGACAAAGCCCCAGCTCTGTCTCACGAGGCTCTGGCGCTCTTGGAGCTGCCCCAATTCCATCCACGTCACTATGGACTGACAGCGCGAGGCCATTTATAGCCCAACCGTGACACAGCAGCTGCCTTTGCTCCCCAGCCAACTGCAGCGATGAATTACAGAGGGAGGGAGGGAGGGAGGGAGGGAGAAACCTGGCCAAACTCATTGGGAGGAATATAATTTCCTGGAATTGGCCTTTGTTTGCCATTAATGTTTATTGTGTTCCCGTATCTCCTATTTCTATTAGTCATACCAATAAAGCCGCTACATGGAAACACAACAGCCAGGCCACTTACTTCACTTCCTCGTACTTTTTGCCTCGATAGAAGTTACTCTTTTTAATCAGATACAGCAGCACCAGGTCACAAAAGAAAGCTCCCTGCAAACAGAAAGAACTTGTGTTTATCCAATTAGCAATGAGCATTAATTAAAGAAGAATAACTTGTAGAAGCTGTGTTTTCCTCCGTACTCCGTGTCATCTTAGGGGTAATTCAGACTACAGAGTACACTAACAAATGCCCTTAGGACAGGACACAGACACACCTGACTGAGCAGAGCAGCACAGACTCTGCTGATGGAGATACAAACAAAGGGTCCCATTTTATCCTCAGAACAGCTAAATGAGGGATCTGGGTGCCAATGTGTTCTTTAAGAAAATACATTCACTCACCGCTCCCATGAGAGCGAGTCCCGAACCGATATTGATAATGGTGGGAATGATGTTGAATTTCCCTGCCTAAAAGGAAAAAAAAAAGGTCATGAGGTACTCGGGGAAAGAACAACCCAAGAAACAGAGTCAGGGGTGTGGTATTAGACAGGGGAAGCTGCTGGTGCCAGTGGGTGTGTTGTGTTGGCAACAAGGAGGCACAACCATAGATTTGCAATGAACAATCTTGGAGGTGAAAGGTCTGTGTGTGCCTCAGACCCAGCTGTCCACGGCTGCATTTTGGAGCTTGTGACACCCCTGGATTAGGCTGCTTTTTTCTGCAGCACACATCCATGGAAAACAAGTCTCTGGGGCATATTTACTTCTGTCAGACTTTACATGAGCCTGTCTTTAGGTAGAAGAGATGCAGCCTCATCTGAACACCAGGTCATCTCCGTTCTTATGCAGGGTTAGTGCCACATGGATGAAAGGCAAAAGCCCTTTCCTCCAACAACCCATAGAGGCTGTTCTCACCCCAAAGCTGCCTTCCCACTGAGAGATGTCCCCCACCTTTTTTCTCCCCAAGCTCAGCAATATTCTGGCCTGGGACCTCACCTTGCCATTCACCATCACATCAAAGCGGATCCCATACGCTTTAATGAGCGTCCGGTAGTCGACCCCCTCAGCATCCCGGTAATACTTGGCAAACCTGGAATACAACAATGCTGATTTTAACTCCATCATCTGCCCCCCACCCCGAGAGCCCATCTGAACTCACCTATCTCTTCAAACAGACCTATTCCCCTATCAAAACCAGCTTTAGCTCACCACAAGCACGACTCCCTCCCTCCCCTCTGCACAGCAGCGCACTTGGCTGGGGCAGTTCCTGGCACTGGTACCACTTCACTGCCAACCTCCAACGCCTGCGACTCAAACCAGCTCAGCACAACTGCTGGACTGCAGCGTGTTCTCCTCGTTACTCACCTGAAGTTGTACCCAGAAGAGATGGACTTTTCTGCAAACTTGTTATCCAGCCGGCTAAAAGAATAGTGAGGATTACATTCAGAAGGGGCTTTATCAAGATCACAGTTCCATTCAATCTGAATTCCTATCACACCACCCTTAACGAAAGAGAGAGACAGTGTGAGTTTTTTTTCAAGCTTAGTTCAATTAATTTGTCTTCAAATTTGTCAAATCCTTGGGCAAATTTTTCCCCAGGGACAAGAACAGCTGCATTTCTGGTCACAGACAGGAGCACACACACCTCTGCACGCGCTAAGCTCGTGTTTATGATATTAGTCACGTTACTCTCTACACAGCCCAAGTTTTCCCTGTGCTGGTGTCCTAGGAGGAGACAGGACACTGATTTCATTAACTTCAGGGGCTGTAACATACTGCAGTGGAGAAGAGGCTCTTTTATGCAGGGATGAGGTTCACAAGTGCAGAAGCCAGCACAAAGCCTGCACTCTTCTCACACTGTGCTTCCCGGGATGCCTCAGACTGGCTCCATCTTCCCCCCTGGGCTACACGCTCTGGGTCAGTGTCCACCCCCCATGGAGGAAGCCTCACAGGGCATTCTCTGAGCAGAGGGAACCCCACTGGCCTTCCAGAGCTCTGGGTTTAAACCAATGGTGTAGTATTGTTGAAATTAAACAGAGAAACCCCACTGGCAGAGCAGCAGTTTGGGCAGCCCTGAGTAACAGACAACTGACCCAACCATCTCTTCCAGAGGATCCCACATCACCCTGCCTCCCGTTCCCTGGGGACAGGATAAATCAGACCAGCTGGACTTCCAGCACCATCTCCCCACAGCTCCCTGGGCAGGAGGCAGATCCCTGGGCCGTTGCCAGTGGCTCTCCTCATGGCCACCCAGGGATTGGTACAGCCAGCTGGGAAGCCACACGAGCCCGTGGGGCACTCCTACCTCCGAGGCCATTTCCTGGAATTCACTCCCAGCCCACTGGACGATGTTCCCCAGGAGGAAGATGGGGCAGTAGGGATGCTCTGTGCTGTAGCGGCAGCTCTTCAGGTAGGACTCATTGTCAGTTGCCAGCACATTCATCCTGCATGTAGAGAAGAGGGAAATCCACCTTGTCTCCTGCTTTGCTTGCCTAGGCAGCCTACACCACCAAGGCTGCAGGGACAAGAGACTTCTCCAACACCTCTCACACACAACAAAAATCACACCTTGCCACCAGCCTCGTCACCCTGTGAGCCTCTCCACTGCAGGCCCAAGGAAAGCAGTCTGCTCACACAAAGTGATGTCCAGGCCAGACGGGGACAAGGCAGCTGAATCTGGGCTCAAGGAAGGACTCACATGGAGCAGGTTGCCAGGGTGCTCCAGGGCAACTTATTTTTTCTCAAGGAAAAAAATAAAGACGCTCTAGCTGAGCAGAAGAGCAAGAACATGTTCCTTTCTACAATTCTTTTTTTCATTCAGCAGCAGCAAATGCAAACAAATAGTTTAAATCTGCATTTTCCCAGCCTTGTCCAGGCACCTTCAGTTTTATGGAAGAGGAGGAATACCTGGGAGCAGAAGCAGCTCAAGAACCTGACTATGCACTAGCTGGTGGATGGATCCACCTGCCTTAGGAGCTCTGGTGCAGCCCATGCTGTAAGAGCCATCACAGACCACACTTGGTGAAGGACAACCTTATCCCAGTTGCTCTCTGAGAAGCTCCAAGCCCTCACTATTTCTTTGTTCCTCCAAAGCCCTCCCCTGTGCCTTAGAAGAGGGAATATCTGCTTCCCCACCACAACCCTCAGGCTGGAGAAGGACAGTGGAGCAAACCCCGGGTATTGGTTCTGTGATGGAGAGGACAGAAGGATCTCCGAGCACCTGCACTTACTTGGAGAACTTAAACTTGGGGAAGCGGATCGAGTTCTTGATGTAAACAGTGAAGTTTTCTGCGCTGGCGAGAAGTGGTTTCCTGGAAGAGAAGGGTTTGTTGTCTGGTTTATGTTCACACCCTGCCCACGTGTTCAAACTGGAATTGCCATTTCAGAAACAGCGAGGTTTCACCCCATGGTGCTGCACCAGCCATGCCACTCTCCCCACACTGCCAGCAAGGAGATGGTGAGCAGCCTGCAGGCTGAGGGGAGCCCTCAGAGCTGGAAACAGCCCTGGGACAACCCGTGAGCTGAGCAGGGGGGAGCAGAGGGCCAGTCCTGCCAGGGGGCCATGCACAGCTCCCTCCTGCACTGGAATGTTCAAGCAAACATCCAAGCAGAGGGAGCCCAGAAACCACCACAAGCCAAACAACTCAAGCTTGGGAACAGCATAGAATGGCCACGTACTTGGGCTTGGATCTTTTCTCCACTGGGCACCAGGCCAGTATCTCACAAGTCCCTCTGATGCTGTCCTTGTCTTTCAAACAACGGCCAGTCTTAACCCCTGCAGCACAGACAGCACAGAAAAGGTCACACAGAGCAGCCACCTCCTCTCCTTGCCTACAGGGCACACAAAGATCAGATGATTTTCACTGCCACCCTAAACCCTCCTCCCTGCTGTGAAAGGGCCTCTCAGCTGGAACAACCACTCTCTTGTTGTTTCTCCAAGCAGCCCCGGGGTGCTCTGGCAGCCACCACAGAGCTGTAAGCAAGGCAGCAATCTGAATACAAGATAGTAAAGAAAGGAAAGTCCTTGCTGCTCCCAGTCATCGGGGATCTCTGGGGCTGTAACCAGGCTGATGCCTCTGAAGGAACCTGCCTGTACCAGAAGCAGTACAGGAGGAGGGACCCTTCCCTTACCATTGCCAGCCACCACTGCTTCCCCTCTCGGGCAGTCCTCATCCTTGTAACACCAGGCATCAGGAATGTTGACACTCTGCAAAGCAGAAGAGGACAGAGGTGAGACCTGTGGCAGGACATAAGACTCAGAGGGGTAAGAAAGTGCTGCTGATGTGGGGTGAATCCTCTATAGGATGGTGAACACTGAAAACATGCAGCTGAAGTGGTAACTGCAGGTCAGGTACAAACAGCTCGACAGTGTCACACCACCAGCAACACCATGGTCCAGCTATGACACTCTGCTTTTGGGTTCTGCTCGGTCTGGGGAGGGAAAGGCTGTGGAAAAACCCAGACATCCATCACCTACCACTCACCAAAACCAAATAGGAGGCCACTGTATTTCACCTGAACAGACAACCCTACCTATGATTTAAGGTACAAGCTCTCTGAGCTCAAAATCAGCCTTCTCTCAGCTGCAGGCTGGGTTCACACAGCCACTAGAGGACAGCCACGTCCTGAACAATCATCAAGCTGTGCTCTCAGCCTGGGCTTGTGATATGGAAAATTAATCACTGCTACCAAGTGGCAACACTCCCTGGACAGCCAGCGTCCTCCTCTCCCAGGCTCCAGCCCATTCTGAACCATGTCTCCACAGAAGACATTTCAACATGACACGGTCTGAAAGACTTCCCATGTCCTGAAGGTAACAAAAGTCTGAATGTTCAGCCCTTCCCCAGGATGAGGCTCTTTGAAAGTCTCCTCCACCCGTAACTACGACCGAGTCACCTCAAAGCTGTTTTCCCATGGCCTTTTCTGACCCTGAGCAATCACTGTTCTGGTCTCACCTCCAGCTGGGCAGATATCCAACACCTTCAACTACAGTTAGCAAGACTCTACATGATCAGTGTCTCTGGAAATGAAGAGAGCTAAACCTCCTAGGTTTGCAGTAACCAGTTGGATTTTCCCAACCAAGATATCACACTTCAGAGAAAAACCTTTTGCCTTTCATCTTTCCCGTGTTCATCGCTCCCCAGGTGTCCTCTCTCAGTTCTTACCCCCGGTTTTGTAGGGGTCTGGGGGCCAAGGGACTCATTTCTTCCTACCTCAGGACACGTGGCTTGCCTCTGGTTTGGGGTCACAATCAGATTCGTCATGACAAAGAAAACGTTTTCACCCTGGAATAAACAAAGTAAGGCAGGAAGAGTTAGAGAACCTGATTTACTCTTAAAGCACCTGTTACAAGGAGGATGCGGCTCCCTGCAGAACGGTAACTTCTCCCTCTCTCCTGGTGCTTTTCAGGCTGAGATGCAGCCGTGTCCTTTGTCTGGATAGTTGTTTGGATGAAGCTGGTGGGTCTCTGTGTTAATTTGGTGAGCAGGACTGGTGAGCTTTGCCTTCCTGGCTGCTCGGCAAACCCTCATCCTCCTTTTCCATGAGGACATGGGGCCTGATCAGGGATCAAAGGCCCTGAACCAGTGCAGAGCTGTGGGTGTTTGTTCCCAGCCAGGGTCTTGTTGGCCACCCCAGCTGTGCTGGGACAAACCTGAGCTCACAGAGCAAGGCAGCAGGGCACGGGGCAGGAGCAGATTTAGGGCAACACTGTGGACATGCAATAAAACAAAACACAGCACTTCTGGGATAGCTGGAACAGAGAGAATCCAGATCCCTCTATTGAGCTACTGGGACGACTGCCAGAGATAGGCAAGGAGAGACTTGACTGCATTTTCATACCTAAAATCCTTATTTCTGGCAGTGCAGCATTCCCACTGTATTCAGGCAAAGCCACAATATATATTGGTGAGTCCTGTGCTGGGACCTTCCTTTCTTTGCACATTTACAGCTTCTATTTGGTCCTTTCCCCACATTCAGAAAAAAAAAAATCTAAAACTGTTAATTTTTCTCCCTGATAACCAACCACCAAAGAAAACCACAGAAAAAAACATGCCTGAAGAGAGTTGTACAGTCAGCAAGAAGGGAGTGAAAGCAGCTTACCACGCTTTACACCACACTGCAATAAGCCAACAGGCAGTAACAAGAACATTGAGACCTCCATGTGGTGGGCACTAGCAGGGAAAGCACAAACAGAGCACAGCTGGGCAATTTCCAGCCTGGTGCCAGGCCACGTCTGCTGCCATCTCTTCCCCTAGAGCATCAGCTGTGCATCTCACTTTGGCTCAGTCAAGAAGCAGCAAGGCAGGTTTAGCCAGACACATTTCAATCAACCTTCATCACTCAAATTGCACCACATTTTCTCTCCATCTCCCACCCCCTCTGGGCTGCCCCATGCATGCCTGCTCTAGCCCAGGACTGGAGGCAAGTAGACACTTTGCTCAGACTTCTGCTTGCAAAGTTCTCCTTGCCAAGTATCATGGATCTCTGTGAGAGACAAGGCTGCTTTGATATTTGCTGGGAAGACCTAAGAGATGCCTTTCCATGCATTGCTTTCTTGTAGCCCACCTCCTGCTTATTCATAGGAAAGACATGGATACATCACTTCAGCCTTTCCAGCAGCAGCCAGGCTGGAAGATGGCTTTCTAGCTGAAGAGCAGAGCCGATGGCAGCGGGGTGATGCCAACCTGTGGAGGGATGACGTAGTCGGCAACATCCCACAGCCGCTCCCCCAGCTCCGAGGTGTTGGTGAAGGCCACCCCTTTCAGCTTGGTGATGACAGAGCTCTGGAGGGATGTGTCTGTGTCCTGATAGCCTTTCTTGACAACAAACACCCACCTGCAAAGACACAGTAGGCAGCAGCATTAGCAAGTGGGGTTAGGGAACAAGTTAGCCAGAGATTTACACCAAGGCCAAACACCATTCAAAGGCAAATCAAACCACGCCAATGGCACCAAACCCTCTGCAACTACCACTAATTTAGAATAAATTCTTTGACACAAGCTGCACCTATCTATAGCACTGGAGAAAGAGTCAGGCCCAAGATCCCACGTGCAGGGAGAGGGTCATGGGGTAAAAACCCCAAACCTTCTGCCTCCCTGTCCTGTGCTATGCTCAGCAACCTCGACAGAAAGAGGGGAGGGCAGGGCTCTGTGTTCCTCAAGATGAAAAATGATCTAGGCATCTGTAAGCTGCAGTGAAGAGTGTAGTTGGCTTCACAAATACGTGACTCACTCCCAGTTTAGCAGCCTGCCATTAGGCTACCAGTCCAGCAACAGACCGTGGCTGGGGAGATGCAACTCCTGCAGGTGAGCTGAATATCACTGACAGAAATCTGTAGGGAATATTCTCAGCTGGATACAGGATGTTTTGTAAGCCAGTGCGATGGTAACAACCTGACTGCACCCCAGCCTCTGTGCTGGGCTTCAGGCTTCTCACTAACACACCTGGAATTGCTGCTAAGTGGTCCAGGGAAAGGTTTTGCTTACTTCTTCCCACTGGAAGCAGCAAGAGCTCCACATCACTGGGTGAAAGCCTCTTCAGGTTAAATGAAATACTTCTATTTTCTCCACAACACTGCCAAGGATCACCCAGACCCTTAGAAGAAGTGAAGGGTGCCGGGGCAGGTTTTGGGGGAGGGATGCAGGCTGCGCGTGCTGGCACAGCTCCCCTTTGCAGTGCACTGACCTGGAGTGCACTACAGCAGAAAGGGAAAGCAGCCATCCCTGGGGCTGAGCAGCACTGACAGATGCTGCCCTTCACCTGCTACTCGTGACAAACCTGAGTAATAACATTCCCCAACCCTGTGAAATTTCCTACTTCCCTGTTTTCCCAAGAACACTGTTTTTCTCTCCCGGGGGGCTCCAAAGCAGACCCGTACATTTTCCGCAGTGAATTGGGGAGGAAATGGCAGCTACATGCAAGAAACAATCCAGAGGCATTTGGTGAGCCCCCAAGCCAGCCTCTGAAGAGGTAAGGGTAGGTAATCAAGCAGTCACACACCAGACTAACGCTAACCACCCCCGTGATAAGCTGTGAGCCCCCAGCCACACAGGAGTCACTGCAGACATCGCCAGTGCTGGTGCCAAAGGTTTGCAGAAGGCAGTAGATACCTAAGGAAGAAAAAAATAGCCTGTGTGGCCCAGACAGTCTCTGAACACTCACGGTCACTCGTCATGCTTTGTCCCTCTTGGACAGAGGATGTGTCCTCAGCAACTTTATCTGCAGGATTCCTCCTTTAGCAGCTAATACATGCCAGACTGCTGAGACTCCCTCTGCCCCGCTAGCTAAAGCAGGCTCTGGAACCATACACCTTTCTATAAATAAATCCAGCATGTAAAAATGACTCTGCTATATTTAATTAGTGAAAACATGAGGTGTGTTAAAGGTGAAGGGACTCGGGAGCACAGACAGTGAGGGTAAAGACTTATGAATCACATTCTGCAAAGCCTCAGACACTCAGGAAGCAACAGCACAGGCATTGCATGGGCTGGATAATTCCAGGTCTGAGCCTGCAAGTTGTGAGGAGTATCACCATGTTTGTTACATGTCAGTGTGACAAACTTCTTGCAGAACTGGGCCTTTTCTGAGAGGTGCTCTAGCTATCTCCACGCCAACTCACCCTGCTATGAAATAAATGCAAGGCAGCTGACATTCACGCTGCCTCAGCCTCCACAATCCTGGCTGCTGCAGCCCACTTCAGCAAAGAAATCTGCCACTTCTTGCTTGGTTCCCTCTCATTTTGACTTGAGCATATCATGTTGCCATGCAGATAAGCCAGGTTTGTCCCAAAGCTCAGCAACCATGGCCATAAATGCTATTGTTTCTAATGGGTCTGGTGTTAAGGTTTGGCGCTATTCCCACCAAATACAGAAATAAAGGCGTAAATAATGCAGTACAAAGCCATCTGATCTATTTTTAACATTAATCTGGAAGGTAAAACTGAATCTATCAGTCTTTAGCAGGTGAAAAATCAGATATAAATCTACTAGACATTACAAAATCCAGCTGGATAAACAAGCATAACTACCTGCATTAAAATCACAAGGCGTAGCAAGCTGTCAGTGCATGCAGAGCATCCTACATTAATCTTCACCACAGCAGAGGAAGCAAACGCAACCGCAGCGGTATGTGAAAGGCAGGGCGATTCTTACCCCACCAGGTAAGCCAGGATGGAGAGCTGCACCACTCGATAGAGAATCCCCACCTTCTTGTTCTTCGCAATGACGTATTTCTCTGTTTTATAATCAAAAAGCGATAGAAATAAACCTTTCCAAGCCACCTGCCCCATGCTCCCGGCTCGCTCTGTACGGGCGGCTGGAGCAGGCAGCGGCGTTTGCAGCTCGCATTATCCACACGTGCTCTGCATGGAAACCTGACGCACCAACCCCTTCAGAGCCAGAGGCTGATCTCCTCCCTCCCGTCAGCTGCTCGCCGGCAGCAGCTCTCGGGTCAGAAACCAGCAGCTGCACTAACACAAGGTGCTTCCTTAGCTGCTCTCCAGCTGGGTCATGCTCTGGGGAAGCCCCCACCTCAGTTTTCCTCCCCAGCTTTGTTCTCTCCCCCCGCAGTCACAAAATGTTTGTGGCATGAAGCCGTGTTGCAGCACCCAGGGTGACAGAGCTACAGTCTCTCACGGTTACGTATTAAAGCCTTTCTTCAGCCTTTACATGATGGCAAATTACCTGGGTAAATTTGTAATTTCTTAAGCATTTGTATGAGCAACAAGAAGTTGGGTCCCTACCAGTCATCCAAAATACCTGCTGGTTACTACATCTTCCCACCAAAAAAAATCCCAACAAGTTAAGAAACTGGTAAATAAATTCTATATGTGGTTAAGTGATCAATCACCATCACATCTCATTAAAAGGCACAGTGAGTGCTGGGCTAGGCACATATAGACACAGAACATAGTGTCTGATGAAATACCAAACAGAGAGGAATAGTTTAACCCTCTCTGAGGTAAGAGTTGTTTACTAGCCAGTAGTGCAAGAGATGAATCCTGGTCTAACAGAGCACATGCAAGGACATGAAATAATCATTCCTTAAACCAAGAACCCTGGACACTGTCTCCTGGCTAAGGAGGGAATAGGATGGAAAATGAAGTAAGCCAGGATCTTCCAGCAGCCTGGCTAAGAGAGCAAACATGCCTCATCAAGAGGAGATCCAGCAGCAAGCTGGGATCCAAACTGGAGTGTGCCCTTTCCGAGGAGATCCTGTACCTGTGCACTGATGGGAGGTGTCTCTCAGGGATGGGACTGCCCATAGGCTGAGCCTATTAGAGAGAGTCCATCAGAGATAGAAGGTGTTGTACCAGGCATAATAAAGTGTAGGGTTTACTGCATTCATGCCTGAGCACCTCATTAGCTCACACCTGAGCACCCAATTAGTTCACAGGGCTTTGTCAGGACTGGGAAGGCTCTTGGCATTCCACAGTATGCAACTGTGATAGACACTCAAACACAGGTCAAGAGAGTGGGTCACACTATGGAGGGAGCAGGCAGTGCAAGGTGATCTGCTCCAGCACACACACCTCTGTCCTGTACAACTCCCTTTCCAGGGAGAATCATTCTCAAGACCTCAGGTTTTACGAGAATTTTATCCTTCATCCTCCTTATAAAATTTAAACAGATGGGTCAGATTTTTTAATGAATATGTGACAATATTGCTGCAAATCACAAGAGAATCACAAACAGTGTAATAATGAACAAAACACTCTCCTCAAAATACCTCATTTTGTCCCTCCTCCCACAGCCATCCCCAGAGCTTCCGAGAACCCTTTTTCCAGCAACTGCAAAACTAGAACAGAAAGATGCCAGTGGCCTCCTTTTACCCCAGCAGCTGCTGCGATACGCGGTGAGTATATCCCACATCTCAGGACTGCCTCCAACATTGCTCCTGCTGCACTAAGAACGCTCAAGTTCACGGACAAATGAAGTAGCAGTGGAGACAAGTCAGCCCTTCGTGGTGTCTAGAGACCTCCCCTCTCCATCCCCATCTTCTAAACCAGCTAAAATCAGACCAAGGAACTCGCTAACAGTTAAGCAGTGTGGTGCCTCCTGGCCTGATTTTACTTAGTGGCACAGATACAGGTCTGCCATGAGTTTTTGCAATTATTTTCCAGGTCAATTAATGTGAGAAAGGATCTACACAGGTTAGAAAAAGTGTTCCTTAGAGTGAGAAGTGTTCTTTGCTATAGGTGTGACCTGAAGATAGCAACCAGGTGTGATCACTAATAAAACAGGATGTAAAACCGATACCTTTCTTGGGTTTTTTTACAGCCACCAAGTGGAAGCACAGTTGCAATAGTTGGTTTTGAATAAAAACTTTCGCTTTGCATCAAATGTACCTCAGAATATTCTGAATACTGCTCAGCACAGGCTAAATTTGTGCTGACAACACTTTTTGCTGGCATGTTCTTATACATGTTGTTTTTCTCACCTTCCAGTTTTCACAACATTACTTTTGTTTTACCTGCCTGGAAATCCAGATTACTGGTGTGTTTCTCAAAGTATCTGTGGGTTGTGCAAACATAAGCAGTTTCATCCCCAGGAGGGAGTAACCTAAGAAAATTGAATCATCATCAGTTAAAGACAAAAACCCCAGTAATTTCTCTGAGGCCTCAAGGGACTGAGGATGGATTTCTTTTGCAAGATATCAAGAAGGGTCTTGAGTCCAACATTTTGAAATTCCCATGGAAAAAAAGAGTTCTCCTTTCCCCATGAGGGCTATTTGCTCAGTCTGGAAATTCTCACAGTGAAAATTTCTCCTCTGGTACCAAAACTCTCCCTTTCACTCTCCCTTTTTTTAATTCCTGACATGTTACACCTCTTCATAACTCCTCACACTATTCACAGTAATTGCCTTTTCATTAGTCACACGTAGGCACAGGATACACGTCCCTGTCTGCCCAGCCTGCTCCTCATCTACATTTCTCTCCACCTGTCAGTAGTTCTTCAGCGTTAAGCTGCCCCAGAGCTGAACTCAGCCCAGTCACGAGCCTGTAAATGCCACATAAAGGGACTGTGGAAATTAAACTTTAGATCCCTGCTCTGACACAGTGGCATTTGGAACACAGCAAGGTCACATCTGTCACTATATGACATTTTAAGATGGAAGCATTTCAAGACCAGCCCAATAATATCTTTAAATCATACCCAAAAGAGATTGTGTGTTTTCCAGGTAATGGCAGACAGCCCTGGTTGGTCCAGGTGTGATTCAGGAGTGACTGATGGAGGTGCCCTTTAGACACTTATCTTGGTTACTTCCAGTTCCAAACGATCACCCCCAGGCATTAAGGCACCTCCTGAATTCTCTCAGTGATCTCTGCCCCACCCTTTCCTGAGCTATCAAGTGCAACAGAAAACATCGGCTCCCAAACACATGATGGCTGACTCACAAGATGCTGAGATGTTTTCTGAAGCACTGGAAATGCTCCTGCAGCAAATGCCTGAGTAATGCAGATGCATCATCCTTTAGAAATAGGCACCAGACCAGCTACTGAAATAGAAAGGAGACAAGGAGCAGAGGATGTAAATAAGAGATAAACTATTTTGGCAAGGAAATGGACAGTGGAAAAGACAGAGGTCAGTTCTCCATTAGTGGTTTTTTCTCATAGCATCATGCTTGTAGATCAACATCTAAAAAGAATTGAGGGGAAGAGTTGAACAGGTAGAAGAGGAAGTTGCTTTTAAACCACAGCTCATGCACACGGAAATCAGCAACATCAAGCATGAGCTGCTTTCTGAAGATGATGAGAGCAAAGAAATGTGTGTGCAGCCTGCAGTGAAAAATGCTCAGTTCAGCTTCTTTTTTAATCCTCACTCTGACTTCACAGTGTAAATAAGAAGTAGGTTGCTACTTGCCAATGAAAAATTGACAAAAATCAGCCTCAATATTTGTCCTCCTAACTAGAGCCCTGAACGCCCAGCCACAGTGGAAATCTTTCTTTCAGGAGTTATGAGGAAAACATTCAGATTTTTTTTTGCCTAGAAAGTGAATCTGTGGAAAGAGTCTTTCTGTCATCCACAGGAGCATCTCTATAGGAGTGAGAAGTGGAAGGAAGCATGCTGAAGTTCCAGAGTATATTCTCTCTTCAGTTCAGCTCATCATTTCCAGGAAAGCCATTTTCAGCCTTTGGATCTGTTTCAGGTTGCTACCCCAAGTCTGGAATCTCCCGTAGTGTGCAGAAGGTCTTGTTACCATCATCTGGAGTGTTTATGCACTCCTCTCCCCCAGCCTAAGAAGTGAAAGTGCTCGAGGAAGAGGACCAAAGAGACAGAAGAAAAATACTTCACATCTAATGAAAGCAATCCATCATGCCCTGTTCCATGAGAGAGCTGGCACCGAGGCAGATCACAGAAATTAAATAAAAACACACATAAAACAGGGCTGGGAGATGGAGGGTGATGATAGCTGGAACCAGCACTGTGCACTGCTGGACTGCAATGTTTTCACTTGCTGAAGTCAGCCAATAAAATCATCATTGGGGAATGTTAAATCAAAGGCCTGAAAGCTGAATGGTTTTAATAAAATGTGTATTCACATTAAGCACTGACTTAAAGGTGAAACCCTGCTCCTGAATGTGCCTGACATCACTTTTTTACTTCTTTGACTATGTGTATCATTCCTGACCTGGAAAGATATGAAACTAGTCCTGGCTTGATAGCTCTGTCAGAGCTTATCTTGCTGCAAGTGCTGAGGAGACACCTTCACCCCCTTCACCTTCATCACATAAACAGCTAGAAAATCTAGAATGATCCCTTTGCCCTTTCCTCCCTGGAATTAACAACTGCTAAGTCTTTTCAGCCATAGGAAAATACACATGCTACTCAGACTTGGCCCCCAGAGGAAAAGATTTCATGATGAACCCCCTCAGCCTGGCACCTGACCTCATGTTAGCTCTGGAGGCTGGTGATGCTCTAAGCCAGTTACCTGTTACCACCAGCAAGAGGCTGATTTGTCCCAGCTGTGCTGCACAGATGTACTGGAGCTGGTTGAACCAAGCTGGCAGAGAGTTGAAGCGACCTGCTTGTAGCAATGCAGCTCCATCCAAGCTCATTCATCCTCTTGTATTAAGAGACAGGAAATTTATCTTTTGAGCTGCAATCCAATTAGCCTCCAAATGAAGCTGCCCCAACAGGCTCTCAAGCCCAGGAAAGCACTTCACGGCTCCTATCTGCTGCTCTTACGTCAGCAACCTGCACTTATTAATGAAGAACTACTTATGCCCTTTCCTGATAAGCTTTCCTGAGCAGGAAACTTCCACTTCACTTTCTCCTGCCAACCACCAGCCCACCACACTCCCACAGTTCAATATATGAACCTGTCAGC